AGGCCGCACAGCCCAGGAAAACAAAGAAGCCGCCCTGCTGTGGATGTGAACACACGTCAGCTCCACTTCAGAGCGGACACACAATCCAGCCGAACGGTAGAAAAATATGGTCCGGCCATTGCGATGGCAGGGGATCCAAAAGCAATTTAGGCCCCGGTGGGTGCACACAGTTCACAGTCAACACAACCGTTTCGGGAGCTGCATCACTGCGCACAACAGGGCGACTCAGAAATACGGCTGGCCAGCCACGCGCAAAACAACGCTTTTATTTTTTTCTGCTCTTTCCCACTGCTGACCCCAGGAGCAGGATGCAAAGTCTCGGCCTCTGCCGCTACTGAGAACAGGCTGTGGAGGTGACCGTACAACAACTGCAAGCAGGCAAGCTCAGGGGCCATTGCGAGGATGGATGGCTGTCACTGTGTTGAGAGTCACACGGGAGATGCCCCGGGCCAGGCAGGGTCACTCTCCGACACAGCAGGGGGGAGCGTGGGCCTGAGCGATCTACGGGCAGGGCAATGCCAGGAGACCCAGGTTCAGGTTAGACAGGATTCTCGAGAACACGGCACATGGTGTTTAAATCCTTACATTTGCAAGAAACACACACAGAGAGAGAGAAGAAATAGGACAGTCACGCTCCTGTCTGCTCCCAGCAGGCAGTTAAGCCCTGCAGGCTTCCACGCTCACTCAGACTTAGCCCGGATCCTTATTCCACAGCATCTCCCGCTCCTGCCGGGCATGTCAGGGCTGTGGCGCAGCGGGAGACCCTAAGGCTAAGGGACGTCCCTACATGTTCTGGAGGTGGGCCTGACTCCAGAGCTCCCCTGACACACATAAATTTCACACAACGTATCAGGACTTGCTCCGGGGGCCTGGCGCTACCAACCGAGCCTTCGCACCAGGTGAGCCAGCCTCAGTCAGGGGAGCAAGTCGCATCAGAATGAATGAGGACCACGCTTGTGTCTGTCTTACAGGGTCCATCCGCGGAGCAGTCAGGACACGCGCATTATAAAGCTCCCCACAGTTCCAGAGGAGACAACAGCGGGGATTCACCCATGTCACACCCGCAGTCCCCCCTTATCCGCGGAAAGTATGTCCCAGCGCCCCCAGCGGGTGCCTGAAGCCGTGGGGCGATGCAGGCGGGGCCTGGGCTGCCTGTATTCCTCCATCTACTGGCAGACGGCTCTTGTCCAGATGGATGAAGGAATGACACCAACCTCCTGGGGTAAAGCCTTGATGCTCGACGCTTAGAAACTAGAAAGCAAACTCTGGTCCAACAGAAACGCGCTGTGACTGATAAGAAACGTAGTTCTGCAAATTCCTGGGCTTATGACCTCACTGCAAAGTTTAGGCAAATGCACCAGGCACCGCTGGACAGATCCCAAGGCCTTTCTGAGCCCACTCTCTACTCCACACGGGGAAAGGTGGTCTGTCACTCCCTAGGCCCGTGCGTGGCCGCCTATCGGTTTAGTGCCACGTGTCCCGGGCCACCGAGTCGACACAGGCGTCAGAGCAGGGACGGACTCCAACAGCTGTCATCCTGCACGTGTCAGCACAGGGCGGGAGGCCCGAGAGGCTATTTTCATACAGAGAAGGGCAAAGATAGCTTCCTTCCAGAAAGAAAGGGGGTGGGTTTCCGAAAAATCAGGAGGATTCGTTAAACGCAATCCAAAGAAACAGAAAACCTCATTCTACATGCAGAAACCGATGGAGCCTGCCTCTCAGATTATCTGCTGAAGAAAGAACTCGCGCAGGTGAGCTCTGTTTGGAGTTCCTGGTACAGTGCCGTTTCCCCTGGAAATCCAGCTGCAGATGCAGCTGGGATTCAACTCCAGCGTGTCCCACAGACCTCCCCACTGCCTTGCTCACCTTGGGCACCATCCCCAAGTAACAGCCTCAGCAGCCCCTTGGCTACAACCACCCTTCTCCCCTCCTTTTCCGGAGGAAAAGCCCCAGCCTTTGCAATGGCCCCCGAGGCCCTCCGTGAGCTGTCTGTCCTGATTTCTCGGATCTCATCTCCCAGGACACTTCTGATAATCTACGAACCTGTCAGCAACCACACCAGCCGTCCCCGGTACAGAAGGATTCGGATCGGGGAGGGGGCCTGTGTGTCATCAGCTGGCCCGGCAGCTGGGGGACCCTGGATATCTGTATGCATTTGGGACATGGACAGTCCAGGGTCCCCACAGCTGACAGCAGACCTGCCCAATCAGAGCAGCCGCCGCCTAGAGCGGCAGCAAACTCTAGTGACACGGGAGTCACCTGAGGGGCCACTCAAACATGCAGATGTTGGCTCCGCCCACCCGGCCCCAGGCCTCTGCAGGTCTGGGACGGGCCAGGGAATCTGCTTTTGATAAAGACCCCTTGGGAGACACCTAGAGAAACACCATCTTTAAATCTTCCCCAAGCTCCTTAAAACCTCTTGCTCAGTAAATACTTGGGGGAAAAAACAAACCTGAAATTGCTTTCAAGACTCGTAATACATTCATTCCCGGGGAGGCTCTTTCTACTGCTCATCTTCTGGACTCTTATATCTTATTAGAAAAACTCTCAGGCAGACTAACCTCACCCTAACCAATATTTGGGGGGACAATGACTTTAAAGAGGGAAACATGGTGTAGCAGTCACACGGCCTGAGGAGCAAGGACAATTGCATCCTCGGAGGCGTTTGTCCAATGAAGCCTCGGGGCCCCCAGGCCCCTCTCCGGGGCCAGAGCAGCCGTTATCAACTACACCCAGGTTGGAGGGAGGGAGTGAGAAAAGCAAGAGGCGCCACAGGCCCCAGGCTCCCTCCAGCCGCTCCCCACGGCTCCTTGGAATGGAGGAGAGGTTCACCCAAGGTGACAGGGATGGCCCTCGAGCTGCTTGGCAGAGCCAGCCTCCACTCAGCATGGAGAAACTCACCCCGACCCTGGCCGCTTGCCGCCTGGCATCAGCTCACTTAACATTTTTACTCAATTACTATTTCTAAGAACAGAGACCAAAAAAAAAAAATCCAGAGCCCCACCGCTCAGCAGTCTCGCATGCAAGGTCTGAGAGGGGCCCCCAGGCTTTTCCCCCAGGCCTGGAAGCGGGGTGCGGAGGCAGGGCCCCCCACTGGAGGGGAATCTGGGTGTAGCCTCCACCAAGCTCCCCCTTCCACGCCCTCGGGGACACCCCTGATCTTCCCAGACTTGCTGGAGCAGGGTGGGTCTCCAGTGTTTTTTCACCAAAGGAAGAGAGCAGGTGGCAGCCACGAAGTGCCCGACAGTCACCCCAAGTGAGGCCTGTCAGACAGGAAAACCACGCAAGGAACCCGGGTGGGCCTCTCCATGCGTTTACCGTGGGAGGAGATGAAAAGGAACTTAATCCAGAGACGTAGGTAAGCAAACTATGAGACTGAGGACCCCGAAGAGAAAGCAAAAGGGAGGCGAATAATTAATAATAATAATTTTGGGGTCTCTGCGGTGCGGTGGCCACACCTGAACTTGGATTTTGGCTCTGCCAGCCAGCAGCAAGCCCGATGAGCAAGGACAAGGTATTTACGACTCCAAGCCACAGTTTCCTGAAAAAATGGGGATTTTAATCCTGGTCCTTCCTGACCGACCAGCCAATGCAGGGAAGACCAGGAGGACGCGTCTGAAGTACCAGGACCCGGAGGGGGGAGGGGGGACTCAACATACGCCCTCCTTTCTCATTCCCCGCATTTCCCCTTTTCTCTTCCAAAAAGCTACCGGGGGAAATATCAGACAGTTAACTCCTTGGTTATTCAGACAGTGAAATAAAACACACATTTAGAGATTGACTATGAAATAAAATTCATCTCGCAAAAGAGAACTTTAAAAGCATGGTTGAAACCTTCATTTAAAAAATTTTTTTTATTTTATTATTCACATGGCAGCTTCTGGCTGGCCACTCTGAGGCTTTCTGGACTAAAATAAAATGTACAACCTCAATAGAATCGGGTTGTTGTTTTTTAAGGACATCCCAGCTTAGGTATTGTAAATAAAGCATTTTATTCCTCGATACCTAAGAGGGAGGGTTAAGCATCATAAACTGCGGAGTAAGATATGCCAGCCAGCCAGGCATCTATCAGGGCAATGAAAACACTGCGTCTGTCCCTGTCTGGGACGTCTGCCCACGTTTAGAATCAATATCATCCAAACCTTCTCAGAGCCTCAGAAATGCAGAGTGACCCCAGGCCAGGATTCCGGGTCCACTTCCTCTCTCCCTGAGCACGGGTCAAGGGCAGCTCGGGCCACTGAGTTCTTCGTGTCGGAAACATCTAAATTCTATTATTTGCTGTGGCCTCTCATTGCCCAGCGTACAGTAGGCACTCAATAAAAGCCGGCTGAACTGATTAACGCTCCAAATCGGCAAGGAGGGGGACCTCTGGCTTCCGTGCCCCCCCAACCTCCCACGTGGCACCGGCTCTGAAGGTCAGGGCTGAGTGGTGTGAGCACGTGGCAAGCTCCCAGGTCCAGTTGGCCGGAATCTTGAGCCGTGACAACCCATTTTCTCATGCAACCCAGAAATGACAATAAGATCACAAATAGTGGCATCAGCATAACTCTCCCACAGGCCTCGCTCTAGGACTGCAAAGGAGGGGGGACGGAATCTCCTTTGCATTAATTGAGCAACTACAATGTGCCAGTAATAAGGACATTAATAATAAAAAAAAAAGGACCCTTGACATTCTGGTCAAACGGTTCAGCCCTCCAGAGAGCATCCTCCATGGGGTCAAATTGCTTTGTAACCCCTGGGACACAAATCTCATACGCCCCACAGGCCACCCTCTCACATACAGCCATGAAGTCATCATAGGATTTCAAAGCTGTTCATGAGAGTTGCTCATGGAAACGGCCAACTACAAAATTCAGGGGCACCTTCGCGACTGATGAGCGACAAGGCTGCATCTCAGAATTCCAGGTGGCCTCCGCCACCTTCCCCGCAGGACACAGACACTAACGATAAAGTCGATAGCACTACGTGAAATGAGGTATAAAGCAGACGAGTGTACTCACCAAGGTACCCACAGAGCACCTGGGACTGTCTGGAGCACAAGCTGCCCACTGAGCCAGAGGGTGTTGTAACAACTGGGCAGACAGCTAGGAGTTTTAAAAAGCACAGTCAGTCATTAGCTATTTTACCGATGGGAAGCCTCGCACAGAGCTATACAAAGACTCAAAGTGGGAGAGGGGCTCAAGGAATGCTCTTACCATTTCCCCCAGAAATATCAGCTCCCTGCTACTCGGGGTTCAGGGGATGAGACACTAAAAACCTATGGGGGGGTGTCTGGGTTCTGGTCCCAGGTTTTTGGCAGCCCTTACCCAGCAGTCAGACTCCTGAATTCGGGTTTCCCTTGAACACGCTCTCGTGTTAAAATAACAATGTACAATTTATACACCAAAACGTTAAAATAAATACCTTGCCTCTATTAAAGATGACTAGGAGAGGCCTTGACCTCCTCTGACGAAAGACAGCCCACCTATTAAGAATCAAAGTCTGCTTTTCGTTCGCTGGGCCTGGATTTCGGGTTTCTTAAAACTACCTGCCGCATTCCTCCCCCGCAGGTAAGGGCTCCTTCGCCAAGGAGGAGTCGAAAATACACGTGTCTGTTCGTCTGGGGCTGCTCAGCTAGAGCTGAAGCATGTGGGGCTCCCTGGATAAAATAAAATGGATTTTCTCCCATGACCGTTACTATATCCTGGAGTTTGGAAGTTCGCTTCCTTTAAAGTAACAGCAACTAGATCGTATACATGGCCCACCGTATTCTTATTAAAAAATACACCCAAAGTGGAAGAGAAAACATGGCTAAGTGTCCCAAGGCTGTCCTGTCGGTGGTAGAGTCCGTGATAAATATGGGATTTTTGCATGAGATGAGGCGGATGCTGCAAACCTTGGGACAAGTCGCCCGATTTACCCAGGCCCCCGTTTCCATAAAATGAAATGGACATAATGTGGCCCTTGAGGGTTATTAGAAGATTGAAATGAAATGACGTATTTAAGAGAGACTGACAAATAAAATATAATAAAGGGATGTAATAAATTACTGACCTAACTTATTTGACAGACGAACCCCTGACTGCCTTCCAGGCCTGGCCTGAGTACACTCTCCTAGCTCCTGACACAGGCTGGAAATCCACGCACCTTCCCTTCCCCTGGGGCACGTCTTCTAGAAATAGCTCTGCTGCTATCCAGACCTGACCTGAAAACTGCTTTTGACAAAAGACAGCGGCCCTGTGGATTCCTCGCTCATGTTTTTTTCCCAGATTTGTGCCTTTTATCACTTGACTTTAGAATAGACAGGACTACCCAGCCGGTGTGGCTCAGTTGGCTGAGTATCGATCGATCGACCCATGAGCCAAGAGGTCACTGGTTCGATTCCCGGTCAGGGCACGTGCCCAGGTTGTGGGCTTGACCCCAAGCAGGGGGAGGGCACGCAGGAGGCAGCCGATTGACGTTAATGTCTCTCTTTCATCGATGTTTCTATCTCTCTCTCCCTCTCCCTTCCTCTCTCTCTCCCTAAAATCAATAAAAACATTTTTTTTTTTAATTTAAAAGATAGGACTTTTTCCATACCCTGGAACTCACCATCCCCAGCATTCAGCCCACTAACAAGATCCCAGTGACCACACTTGTGTGGATCCCACCTCCCAGCCGGAACCCTCTCTAATGGGGCCCTGGGGCCCTGGGTGACCCGCATGGCAGGGACGTGCCCACACCCAGGCCTCTGCAGGGCACTGCGATCACGCTGCCTCCGTAGGCATTGCCAGCTGACATCTTCGCGCATGTTCACAAGAAGCAACCGCGTTGTTCACTTTTAGAGCCTTCCCCATAGTCTCGGAGGGAGAAAATCCCCGCAGATAACCAGGCGGCAAAGACAGGAAGCCACGCTGGGCACACTGGGGTTGTCACGAGAGATCAGCAAGTCAAACAGAGCCCTCTCGCGCCTATCTGACCTCTGAGAAGAGATGCTGAGACTCATCTCCAACAGAAAACTCACTACCACCAGAGAGAGGCAGAGTCATAAGCAGAGCGCACTTTTTCTTCCAGCCGTGGCCCTGTGCATTTCTTGGGGGGATTTAACTCCTTTTCCTGGGAAACAGCACCTTCTTCAGGCCAGTGGGTGTCGTGGGACAATTCTATTCAATGGGAACCAGATCCCTGAGGTTGGCCCAGGTCCCCCAGGTCAAGGGAAGGCTGAGCAAGAACAAGGCAGAGTAACTATTGTCATTGGCAGCTTCCAACACGCGGTCCTCAAGTATGCGCCTTTGGTTTCCCTTCCCTCTGCTATGAAGCTGCGCTATTAAACCTTCTCTTTCCTTTTCTAAATATTGTTGGTTTTTACTTGTTTGTTTTTAGGCCAGGCCGGAGGATAGGGGGCTCTGGGGCTGATCTGATACCTCGGAAATTAAAACCATGAATTGGATGGAGGGATAAATGATGCTGATAGTGATTATTTAGGTTAAAGAAAGCAATTGTTAGTTTTTTTAAAAAAAAAATCAATTTTTAACAGTCTATGCGATTGATGCGGTCCTGTGGTCTGGACACATCTTTTTCAGGTCAGTGAGGCTCTGGGTATATGTGAAATGCTTAAAAAATGTAAGACCCCAGGAAAAATCTGAGATGTTAATAGCCTTAGGGCAATAACGCTTTCTAGAAGTACTGGGCACTCACTAATTCACAATGGGGGCCCGTGGCTCGCGTAAGTCGTGAGACAGAAACAGTCCTGGAGTTAAAGTAACTTACAGTGTAGCTAAAAGACAGTGAAGTTAATAGAGAGGCATCGGGGTTCATTTGTGCCCGTGATGACACCACTAAGAAACGAAGCACAACCAAAAAAACACACGGCATTTCTGGGGAGTGTTTCTGAACCACCTGCCTGAGAGTCACCTGGACTTTGGGTCAAGATGCAGGCTTTTGGAGCCACGTTACAATGACAGAATGGATGGAGGGAGGGGACAGGGGTTTGGGAATCGGCATCTGTCGTAAGCAGCACAGGTGATTCTGCCGCTCGGTAAAATTCGAGAACCGCGGGCCTTTGATGAGATCTCATTTGATCTCCAAACAACCCCACCAAGCGGACTGAGGACAATTTATCCCTCCGGAGGGTTACTTGTCCTGAGTAAGGAGGGGTTCTGTGTGGGGTGAAAGGGTCTATAAGATAGAGGAAAAGCCATTCTTGCTGCAGTGGAACCTTAAGCAGAATTAAATGTCATTAAAATACACCTAGGCCCTGGCCGGGTAGCTTAGTTGGCTGGAGCATAATCCTGATAAGCCAAGGTCGTGGGTTTGACCCCTGGTCAGAACACATACAAGAAGCAACCAGTGAATGCATCAGAAAGTGGAACAACAAATCAGTGTTTTTCTCTCTTTCTCTAAGATCAATCAATAATTTTTTTTTTTAAATCCCCTAAACTCCATTTCAAATTAAATTCCTGCCTAAATCCCTCCCAAACCCACCACACAAACACCTCTCTGGTGATTATACCAGTTCATAAGTGGGTCCTATCACTTCCTCTCAATGCTCGCTGTACTAAGATGAATTTTTACTCTACCTAGAGACGCCCCAGCAAGTGCTACTGAGAAAGGGCAAACCGCTGACTCCAAATGTCCAATGACTGGGGGTGAGCTTGGTCCAAGACCCACCTTCTAGAATCTGAGCACTAGTGCCAAGGAATTAATGAAATTAGACACGACTCTACACACATAGTTTCCATATTGATGGTGATGTTTTCTGACAGTGGAATTCTTCTGAAAGCTCTCTCTCTCTCCAAGACAAACTAGCCCAGTGCCCTCATTCTATGGAGGAAAAAAGCAAAGTTTAGGAGGTGGAACAGTGGCCATTCAGGATTCGGTTCAATGGAGCCCACCAGTGACTTCCATCAACACACTCAACACCCTAAGGCTCGATCCTAGGAGGAGGGACAAACGAGTGACTGAGTTATTATTCAAACCCACATGATTTTTTAACAGACATATCCGAGGGTGACAATGCTGTTGCAGAGCCTGAGGTGACAGCCAGGATTCAGCTTTGCTCTTGCCCGGCTACTTCTGGGTACAAGTCAACAGCTCTGGCATGTTCCAAGCTTCCCTCTGCTCAATTTCCAAAGCCCCAGATACCAAGCTCTGAGCTCGTGGGAACAGTTCCCCACAGAAAGCCCCATGGACCTCCAGGGGGGCAGTCAGTCCCATTACCAAACCATCCATCTTCCGCAAAGAAATGGCCTCAGTCTATGATTTCTTTTCCAAATGTTTTAGAAAATATATATATATATCTTTACTGATTTCAGAGAGAGGAAGGGAGAGGGAGAGATAGAAACATCAATGATGAGAGTCATCAATTGGCTGCCTCCATGACCAAATAAGAGCAAATCCCAAGTGGAAAGAATGATAAAGCCACTGTTCCCTATGGTGTAGAGAGAACGATCCCGAATGAACTTGGTGGGAGAAGCGCTGAGTTAATGATACTGAAATGAACCCTAAACTTGAACATTAAGTTACATGGCCCAGGAATGTCCCATTTATGTTTTGGCAACAATAAATAGTGCTCTTGAGAGGCACGGATGAGTCCTGTGCTTATCAAGTTTGCCAAAACCAGTGCACTGGTGGTCACCCCAGTGCCTTTGCATTCTCGCACCCAAGCGCAAGTGACAAGGGACGGTGCTGCCGACAGCCTGCAGGGATGAGCGTGCTCTCGGGGAGCCAGCCTGTCACGCAGGTGTGGCCCCTGCGGGTCAGGTGGGGAAAGCCAATGGACAGAGCCAGTGTCAAGGCCACATTTTAGTTCTTGCAGGAGGCTGGAAAGATGCTACGGCAGTTCCTGAAACAAAGAGCATCTCCCCCAAAGGCAGTCTCATTCTCAAACAGCGGCTCCCCGACTTTTCCGAAGCAAGGCGTCTCTGCCTCGGGGACAACGGGCTTCGTCCTGACCCATNGCTCCCCGACTTTTCCGAAGCAAGGCGTCTCTGCCTCGGGGACAGTGGGCTTTGTCCTGACCCACGTGCTCTTGGTCATGGAGACAAACGCGCTCTGCCCACGCGCGACCCCAGCCAGGGCCCCGCAGCCTGTCTCCCTCCACGGGGACTCAGCAGGGCAGTGCGGA